TTTCTGGCAGCTGGTGTTGTGCTTTCTTACCAAATCAAAGAAGTATTTTGCAGGTTTTAAATAAATGAAAAGCATATATTCATATTCATAATATTTATTATGTTTTATTACACAAGATCTTTTTTTAGTTAAATTTCATTAAACAAGATCTATTTTTTTAATTGTATTGTATTAAACAAGTTCCTTTTTTTTAGTTATATTTCATTAAACAAGATCTATTTTTTTAGTTGTATTTCATTAAACAAGATCTATTTTTTTAGTTATATTTCGTTAAACAAGATCTATTTTTTTAGTTGTATTTTATTAAACAAGTTCCTTTTTTAGTCATATTTCATTAAACAAGATCTATTTTTTTAGTTATATTTCATTAAATGAGATCTATTTTTTTTAATTGTATTTTATTAAACAAGTTCCTTTTTTTTAGTTATATTTCGTTAAACAAGATTTATTTTTTTAGTTTTATTTAATCAAACAAGATCTCTTTTTTTAGTTGTATTGTATTAAACAAGTTCCATTTTTTTAGTTATATTTCATTAAAGAAAATCTATTTTTTTAGTTATATTTTATTAAACATGATCTATTTTTTAGTTATATTTTATTGAACAAGATCTATTTTTCTTTTTTAGTTAAAGTCTTTTCAGCTTATTTCTGTTGGCTCTTAAAGATAATAAGATAAGAAACGTGGTGGGCTATGGTGAGGTTCAAAAATTGATACAAAATATGTGTAAATTTATCAGGATTTTATGGCCAAATAATCCTTCTTTTTAAGTTAGACAGGAGACAGCAGATTAAAATCAAAATTTCTTCATGGAAAGGGTTATCTGGCCCTGGCACAGAAGCCCCTGCAATAATTGATTTTTAACCAGTTTTTAATTGGTTTAATAGACATTAAGGGCCTGCCCAGAGGCTGAGGACGTGGAATTGGGGTCACAGATTCCAGACCCATCCCTACCTTAAAATTCCAGGTTTTCACACTCTGAAGTTGGGAGATTCCAAGTTCAGCTCAGTTGATACCTGGAGGGATAAACTGAAAAAAATGTTGATTTAAAAAATACATTATCCTGGCATCTCTCCATGGCTGCAAAGGTAGAACCATACTGATGGATTTGAGACATACAGTCTTTTAAAAAGTATTTCCAGCATTTCCCAGCAATGGCTCTTTCACCTTTTTCTGCCTGGAAAACTGGAATTTTGCCAACCAAATACAGCCCTTTTAAGGCAGGAAATAGGCTGTTTTTTTCTCTTAAATTGAGTGTTTCAACCTCACAGTGGAGAGTTCCTCAGGAGCTGTGTAAAACCCAGCTCAGCCATGAGATGGAGCTCACAAAACAGAAATAATCCGGGTTTTTACAGCAGGATCTCCCAGGGTTTGCTGCTTGTTCTGCTGTGGAACAGCCCATTGATTTCTGTACCTCTGTATTTATTAACCAAATATTTTCGTTGTCAGTTTTACTCTCAATATTCAGACTTTAGCTTCCCTTCTTCCCTTTCATTTCAGTATGGCTGTTTATTGGTGTATTTTTAGGCTCCAAACATAACTAATGTTCAGGATTTTTTCCGGAGAAAACAACCAGCTTGTGATATTTTAATATTTTTTCCCAAATAGTTACAAGGCATTGCCTGAATCCCTCGTATCCATTAACTTGGTTTTTTAGTGAAATTAATTATTACCTTTGTTTGCCTATTCAGGACTTGGCTGGAGGGGATTTTGGGTGGTTATTCTGTGGTTTCAGACCATTTCCCTCCTCCTGCTGAAGGTATTCAGGAGTAAAATGGACAACAGGGCTGGGAATGTGAATAACCATTAAAATGGATTTCTCAGTACCGATTTTCAGGCAATTTGTATTGATTTCTTGCTGTTGTTAAATGTTTGATAACGTTCTAGTTTAGTTTAATGTGTGATATTTAAATGTATAACA